TGATAAAGATATTAAATGGAACTGGCCCCAACACTCATCCCTGGGTGGTGCAGGAAAGAGGCAGCTTGGCAGTGAGTCACGCTACTGATGTTGACAGCATTCACCTCAAGAACATGGTACCCAGGTGCTATTCTTCCATCTGCAGCAATGACAAAATCCTGCAAGACTTCCTGAACAACAGTGTTTCCTAGCGGGGTGTCTTTACCCTCAGCTATCCTCATCCTCAGCTCTTCCTTCGGGTCTTCTCGGTGAATTTCAATTGTTTGTTTCAGCTATAAGACTGACTCTCAGAGGAAGGTCTTCTTCAGTCTCCTCAAAAGCTGGATTAACCAGTCCGCAGCAGCTTCAGTGCCTTCTGCCACAAGTGACAATCTTCCACTTGGTACCTTTGGATCCTTGGGTGTGTTTGTCTTCACCTTGATAGGGGGATGTTCCTTCCCTTTGGAAAAAGGGACTCTTTTTCCATTGTAGTTCAGATTTGTATTTCTTGAAACCAGGACACCTGTTCTGCAGATGAACTTCTAGTTCACACCGCTGCATTGTCTGCTGATGCTCTGACTTGAAAGAACAGAAGACAATCAGTTTATCCAACAGGTTTTGTACTACAAGGCTGGATTTGTGGCACTACTGGAAAGAGTTTTTTTCCGATCCACAGGACAAATTTATACTCCTGCATGAAGTTTTCAAGGCATTTGAACTAGTACGTATGTCCACAGGGGGTGTCCATAGGTTGGAGCAGAGCCTAAAGGCAGATAAGGCAGATGAGTTCATTGTCCACTTCATCCTGGAAGTTGTAGAGATGATGATTGTCCGGCAAGAGGTGGAACTGACCACATTCACAGCAAAGTTCACTAACTTGGGATGTGTGTTCTGCTACAGGATCAGCCATGATAGCCAGCATCAGGTGCTCTTGAGCCACCAGCAAGGAAACTTGTCATGTAGTAGCTGGCTGACACAGGTCCTCTGTAGGTGCCAGGGGCGGGAAGGTAATGCTTATCTCTGGGAAGGGGAGAGAGAAGGTGCGGGAAGCCCAGTGCCAACTCACCTGTGAGTCTGGGAATACACGGCTCTTCCACCAAGTTTCTGGGCAGGGAAGAAAGTCAAAACCTATGTGTGAGGAAGAGGCAGCTCAGCCACCCAGGTGTCTCGCAGCCGCCCAGGTGTCTCTGTCCCTCCTGCCCAGTGTGGCATGGCTCAGCCCCATGCTTTCAGGCTGTGTCCCCTGGAGCGAGCTAGTCAGACACTAGTGAAAAGGCAACAGCTGTCTCGGGCTGAAAGACACTGTGGGACCATAACCCACTCCAGCATGATGGTAGAAACTACAGCATGCAGGGAAGGGCAGGTGGTTTATGCAGGTCTAGGAGGGAACCAGTGGGGCTCTGCTCCCACTGCCTTGCTGAGCAGGGCCACACACAGCTACTGGATGTCTCTGTGCCTTGGATTCCCTGCTGATAGCAGGGAAACCTTTTTTCAGGACACTGGAGCTTTGCAAAGTAATTCCAAAAAATGGTGGATTTTTCTTTCTGTCTTTTCTTTGCTTTCTCTTTTTAAGATACTGTAGAAACTTAAAAACATGATTGAATTCATGCATGCCTTTATTTATTGAGCTATTTATGATGGGCACAGATTTCCCTAAGCCAAAAAGCCCCCTCTCTCCTCCTTCCCCAGCCTTAGTAATCAGCTTCCTTGTGCTCCAGCCCACGCTAGGCTATTTTCCTCTGTCAAATTCTCCATCATTGGTTAAATTACCTAGGTGAGTGTTGGCTTTCTTTTTTTGGTGAAATCTTACAATCTTTCAAGTCTCTTTGCCCAAGTCCTTGTCATCCTCTTAGGTCTCTTGTACACCCTGCTTCTCTCCTGGCTGATTCTTTAAAAGGTCTAATTTCAACAAGCTACTGCTCTCTGGGCTGAAGCCTGTACTCCAGTGCCCATGACGATCGTCTGTGTTCATCAAGGCTCCCACGTGCTTTGAAGCTGCAGTGAATTGCAGATGTTTATTGCACATGGAAATTTAACAATATTCCCTTCCACCATCCCTTTCTCAGATGCTCCCCTTCCACATTTTGCTGCCTGTGTTCTCTGCAGCCTACATTGCCCACAAACCTTTTATGCCACTGTACCGTTAATGAGCATATTTGGCACGGGCCCTGGTTTGCCACTAGGGTGCCCCCTCCCACGCACACACTAGCATCTGCCTTCTGACATGTGAAGACATGCTTCACTCACACTCTGTGGTGTGAGCCAGCTGTAATCTCAGATGCTCTTTCCTTTTGGCTCCCCACAGAGATCACAGCACCCTGTTTAATCCAGCTCCCTGTTGGTGTACAGTTGAGTCACAGGAAGTTTTTCTGTTGCTACATCTAATAGTGCTTTGCTATTAGGAGCAGAACATCAGCCTGCTTGGCTAGGAGTTAGCACTGTCACCCAGCAGCTCTCCTCGTCTGGAACTTGTTTTGATTCTTTTCTTAGACTTCTGCTTCTCTGTGTCTTTCTCTCTAAAACATTAATTTCCTCTAATTAGAGCCTCCTTAACAATTATTTTTTCCCCTCTCCTCAGCTAATTTCCTCTAATTAGAACCTCCTTAATAATTCTTTTGCTAAATCAATTTCCTCAGTTAGAACCACCGGCCATAATTTCCTTCTGTCCTTTCAAAAGCTGTCGGAGTAGCTAAGCAAATTATGCTTCTGAGTAACCTTTATCTCTTACTTGGTATTTTAAAAGAAGAACTGTAACGGGTTAGACAGGCACAATTTCCCCTTCCAGAGCTATGCCGATCTGACCCCATTAGGTTATACTTAGCTGAGCATTGTACTATTGTATACTTAATTAGGTGCTCTAGCTGTTTCTCTGGAACCAAGGTAAGGCTGTATTTATGAATGAATTAAACATGACACTTCATTATTCAGATCAGATTTAACAGTGTTAAAATCCATCTTTAAACCAGATCAAATTGCTCTCTAAGAATATGTAAAACCTCCTGCCCGTTAGCTGTCCTGTGACCCAGCTGTTCCTAACTTTTTCTCTGCAGCCATGCCAGCTTTCATCTTGTAACAAACCTTTTAAGTACTAATTGTTTCTAAAACATGCTGGTTTTAAAAAGATTTTTTGTTGTTTGTAATTTACACAGTAAGTAACTATTAATGGCACATTGCTTTTCACAATCATGCTGTGGGCCACATCAGCAGTTGGTATAAATGGGGAGGCAGCTGATTTACACATTATGGACCTTGGGTCTGAGTTTCCTCTTCTACATTATGCAGTTTCTTCCCATTTGAGACTGTATTATGCATTTCTCTAGCCTTTTGAGATGAACCATAAGGAACCATCTCACTATGTCTGACCTTCCTGAAATTACTAAGGACGACTCTCTTCATTTCCTGATTTTGGGAAGAAAAGGGCCAAGTATTGGTGGCAACTGGGAGGAGCCATACAGTTTTAGTGAAGTCTGTTTTTTTGTGTAATTATTAAAAAAAAATAAGGAAACACATTTGAGCTGCATGAAAGCTCTCTCCCCACCACTGGTAGGTGCAGCACTGGTAGCTGATTGTGTTCTCTTTTCTAGTGCCCCTTTCTCAGGTTAGCACCTACTACCAAGCACAGATCTGATGGTTTCAACAAGTGTCGTTATGAAGGAGAGCACAGCCCTCCTACGATGCATGGTACAATATGGCCCGCTCACACGAGAATGGCCAAAGAAAGCTGTCTCACAACTGGCTCATGAGACTGCTTCTGGTGTTTGTAGCGTAAGCACTTTCTCCCTCTTTTGACTATGCCCAAACTAAGCTGCATAGCCTGCTCAAAGTCCTGATCACAAAGCAGAATGTCACTGTGGGCCTTGAAGAGTCTGCTCCAGTAAGGCAGATGGGCCCTTCAAACTTGTGAAATGCTTTTTACCACGATTGGATGAGAATCAGCAACACCTCAGTGGGTGGATGCCTTGGTGCCACTTGGGTGCCACTTGGTACAACAAGTGGAGTGATCCATGAGGAATGCTCCATAGATGTTCTACAGGGAGCTGGTGGAGGCTTGCAGCTACGCCATCCTTAGTGCCACTGTCAGCTTTCTGGGCAGGTTCAAAACATTTTAGCTAAGCCTAGCTCCTGTGGGAAAGCTGTACTGCTACCCTCTTTCACACTTCTTTCCTTCTGACCTTTCCAAGCCTCTAGCACTCCACAAAATCTGTTCTGATGGAGGTGGTGCAGAAGTTGTAAGATCTACTTTATTTCCTTTGCAGACTTAATAACTGTGCAGAAAACTCCATTTACCATCACTTCCCATGGAATTTTGGGGTAGGATTGGATGAAAAAATGAAACGTATTAAGGTTTTTGTTTTTGACAAAATCCCTAATGTTTGAGATGGGAATAGGATGTTTTTGGGCAATCTTACAAGGAATAAAATGCTGGTAGTGCTGGAGAGTGGGCTGTTTGGGAAGGGTAGATTCTCTAAAAAGATATGTTAGAAGGCTAAAAAAAAGCTGTCTGGTTCTTCTCAGAAGAGATGAGAGAGCAGGAAGAGGGAATCACCAGGTTGGATTGTTCAGACCGACAGCTGCCTACAACAGAAGAGATGCTGTTCTCTGTGCTCCTTGAGAAGCCCTTCTTGCTAATCTCCAGTCCATTCCAGCTGAGGACAAAGAACAGCTAGAGATAGAGATAGGCAATCCAGTAGACAATGTTGAAGAGCAGGAAGGCAGTGGGGAAGAAGACACGAGAGTAGGAGTCCAGGCGGGAGATGTGAATGCGGACCCTCCCCTCGCGCCACATTCCTGTCTGACAGTCCTCAATGCAGCAGAAGAACCTCTCGCATTCTTTTCCTTCCAGGCACGGGGAGCCAGAGTCTTCATCTTCATCCTCCTCTATCTCTGGGGGCCAGTGCATGATGTTGTTGATGTTGATGGTGGTAAAGGATGGCATCACCTGTGCCCCAGCAGGTGGCTGTAATGAGGAGGGGTAGGTGGATTAAAAGGAAGGAAAAGGCAAGAAAACATGTTCTAGACACCAAAACTCATCCAATTGGCAGTAGAACAATTCATAGCATAGATGCAGTTCAACGGAGAGGGATGACTGGTCATCCTCTATCTCTGCACTTGGTTGTAAATCACCACCTTGGCATACTGTGGGGACTGGCAGCTCCCTCCATGACTGTGAGTTTCCTCCCTGGCACTCTAGGGCATAGCCTTAGTCAGCAGAGATCTAATTGTTCTGATTCTCTATCTCTGCCACTAATAGTGCAGAAACAAGACCTGTTTGGTTTCATTTGTGCTAGCCTCTTCCCTCATTCTCCTCATCTCAGCTGTCTCTGAAGACAAAGCACACAGTCCAGATATGTCTTCTGGTTGCTGTCAGTTGCTGGAGAAAAGCTGGGGAAAGGCTGTGTGCAACTCATAACCTCTTGGCCCAGGAAAGGAGGGATATTATCAGCCTCATGGAAGAGCTTTCTACTCATGCTGGGAAATGAGGCTGGCACAGAAGAGATCTGTCTTTTTTTGTTTCAGTTCTGTCCCAGTTCAGAGGCCTGTTTCAGCTGATGTGTCAGAAGTACCTGCCATGAGCTTGGGCAGACCTCAGGAGGATGATGACCACTCTGGGTTCACTAAGCCCACGCTCAGGAGGTCTTCTGATGGACAGACCACAAAAGAAAGTAGGTTTCTGCATCTCTGTGACTTAAGATACCTCTGTAATCCACAGAGATCAAACTGGTACAGGTGGAAGAACCTGGGTGTGGATCACCCTGTCTTAAAGTGGACATTTATATTTGGTTATGATGTGAGTCATCCTAAACTGTACTGATAAGCTCTCTAGCAATTTTGAAAAGAGCATAGGGTGCCTGGCTCTGACAGGGACCTCCTTATTTTAGGGGAGCCTCAGCTGCTTTTTCTGGTTGTGTCTCACTTTCCAGGTGCTCAGACCCAGCACACAGAGTGGTCTGAGGACCTTAGGAACACAGTATGAATCAGGCACTAAACCACATCCGCAGTTTCCAATGTAGGCTTAGGGAGGATATTTCTAAATAGCTTGGGGTTCTAACAGCATCCCCCTCTGCTGGGTCCTTTGACCTACCAGCCTGGCTTTCCTGTTGTGCTCAAGTGGTTTCTTGTTTCCCACCAGGTAGTTGAGTGTAGCATACTCCATGAGAGCTGCAAAGACGAAGATGAAGCATACAGAGACAAAGAGGTCCATGGCTGTGATATAGGAAACACGGGGAAGGTGCTTGCGGGAAATAGTACTCAGGGTGGTCATTGTTAGCACAGTTGTGATACCTAAGAGAGAAAATGGCTGGTTTAAGTAATGAATAGAAGCATTTCTGTCTTCTACATGCATCCAGCCCCCAAAACATCCACATTTCCCATCTCCTGGGGAAGAGAAGTTCCTCTGGTTATCTGGTTATTTTTGCTTTGCTCAGCAAGACTCTGGTCTTGAGGTGCCCTCTGACAATGCTGTATAGAAAAAAAGCTGTTCAAAACCCAGGTGTCACACAGGCCATCAATGTCAACTGGTAAAGAAAGGAGCGGGGAACTCAGACTGCTGAAGGCTGTACACACGAACAACTGCTTGGATAATGGGAGGAGAGTCCGAAGGAAGGACATGATAAGAGACAGTAACACTGGATGGATGGCTTTCGGCAGGCAATGGGTGATTTGGGATTCAGTCAGTGATGTCTGGCTGAGTCAGCAATAATCATGGCATTGTCTCAGATGACACAGAACTGCTACTTCTGTCTGATGTGAACCAGAGCTGGAATGCAAAAGCCTTTGTTCTTGTTCTTCCTTTGTCTTTGAGCATTTTCTCCCAGGATGAATTCAGCCCAATGCACAGCTCATCATAGAATCATGGAGTAGTTTGGGTTGGAAGGGACCTTTAAAGGTCATCTAGCCCAATGCCCCCCGGCAATAAGCAGGGACATCTTCAACTAAATCAGTTTGCTCAAAGTCCAGTCCAACCTGACCTTGAATGTTTCCAGGGACGGGGCATCTACGACCTCCCTGGGGAACCTGTTCCAGGGCCTCACCACCCTCGTTGTAAAAAATGTCCTCCTTATATCGAGTCTGAATCCACCCTCTTCTAGTTTAAAACCATTACCCCTTGACCTATCACAACCAGCCCTACTAAAAAGTCTGTCCCCATCTTTCTTATAATCCCTCTTTATGTATTGAAAGGCTGCAATAAGGTCTCCCCAGAGCCTTCCCTTCTCCAGGCTGAACAACCCCCATTCTCTCAACCTGTCCTCACAGGAGAGGTGCTCCAGCCCTCTGATCATGTTTGTGGCCCTCCTTTGGACTCGCTCCAACAGCTCCATGTCTTTCCTGTACTGAGGACCCAAGAGCTGGATTCAGTACCCTAGGTGGGGTCTCACCAGAGTGGAGCAGAGGTGGAGAATCACCTCCCTTGACCTGCTGGCCATGCTTTTCTTTATGCAGCAGAATACAGTTGGCTTTCTGGGCAGCAAGAGCCCAGAAAGATCATGTCCAGCTTTTCACCCCCAATACCCTCAAGTCCCTCTCCGCAGGGCTGCTCTCAATCCCTTCATCCCCCAGCGTGTATTGATACTAGGGGTTGCCCCAACCCATGTGCAGGACCTTGCACTTGGCCTTGTTGAACCTCATGAGGTTCACATGGGCCCACTTGAGCTTGTCCAAGTCTCTCTGAATGACATCTCATCCCTTAGGCATGTCAACCGCACCACTCAGGTTGGTATCTTCTGCAAATTTGTTAAGGGTGCACTCAATCCCACTATGTCATTGATGAAGACATTAAACAGTACTGGTCCCAATATGGACACCTGAGGGACACCACTCGTCACTGATATCCACCTGGACATTGAGCCATTGACCACTACCCTCTGGATGAGACCACCCAACCAATTCCTTATCCACCAAACAGTCCATCCATCAAATCCATATCTCTCCAATTTACAGAGAAGGATGTTGCAAAGGCCTTAGAGGAGTCCAGACACATGACATCAGTAGCTCTTTCCTTGTCCACTGATGTAGTCATTCCATCATAGAAGGCCACTAGGTTGGTCAGGCAAACTTGCCCTTGGTGAAGCCATGCTGGCTGTGTCGAATCATCTCACTATCCTCCGTATGCCTTAGCATAATTTCCAGGAGATCTGTTCCATGATCTTCCCAGGCACAGAGGTGAGGCTGGCAGTTCGCTAGTTCCCAGGGTCCTCCTTTCTACCCTTTTTAAAAATGGCTGCAATGTTTCCCTTTTTCCAGTCACCAGGGACTTCCCCTGACTGCCATGACTTTTCGACTACCATGGAGAGTGGCTTGGCAACTACACTGGCCAATTCCCTTAAGACTCTGGGACGCACCTTTTTGGGTCTTACGTATCTTCAGGTTCCTCAGGTGGTCAGGAACCTGATCTTCTCTTACAGTGAGAGGGACTTTGCACCCCAAGTCGCTGTCTTGCAGCCCATCCACTTGAGAGGTGTGGAATGAGAAATTGCCAGTGAAGACTGAGGCAAAAAAGTTGTTCAGTACCTCAGCCTTCTCCTCACATTGTTACCAGTTTGCCAGTTGTGTTCATTGGGGGGCTACACTTTCTTTGACCTTCCTTTTCTGGCTGACATATCTACAAAAGCCCTTCTTATTATTCTTTGCGTTCCTTGCCAAGTTCAGCTCCAGCTGCGCCTTGGCATTCCTTCCCCATCCCTACGCAACCGGGCAGCATCCCTACACTCCTCCCAGGATATCTGTCCCTGCTCCCACTGCCTGTTCATTTTCTTCTTGCCCTTTAGTTTCACTAGCAGGTCTTGACTAATCCATGCTGGTCTCTTGCCTTCCTTTTCTGATTTCTTAGACTTGGGGATTGACAGCTCTTGTGCTCTATGGAAAGTGTCCTGAAAGATCTGCCAGCTCTGTTCTGCTGCCTTGTTCCAGGGGGTCCTATTGACTAACTCCTTGAACAGCTGGAATTTTGTTTTCCTAAAATTCAGGGTCCTGACTTTACTCTTTGCCTGACCCATATCCCTCAGGATTGTGAACTCCACCACTGCATGATCACTGTGGCTCAGCTGTCTCCAATCTTGACAACACCGATTAGCTCACTTGCGTTGGTGACCATCAAGTCCAGTATTGCATCCCCTCTGGTAGGGCTGTCTATTATCTGGCTTAAGAAGCTATCCTCAATGCCCTCCAGGAGTCTCCTGGGTTGCCTACAGCTCACTGTGCTACTTTTCCAGCAGATGTCGGCCCCAACAGGATGAGAGCCTGCGAGTGCAATGCCTCCTGTAGCTGGAGTAAGAAGGCTTCATCAATAGGCTCCCCTTGATCGGGTGGCCTGGAGTAGACACCAACCACAAGGTTCCCTTTGTTGCCTTGGTCTCTATTTCTTACCCATAAGCTTTCAACCTGCTAGTGGCTATTCTTCAGAGACAGCTCTTCACAATCTACCCATTTCTTGATGTAGAGGGCAAGTGGGTAGGAAATGATAAGGAATCTCTTTTGACTTGAATGGGGCTTGGAATTGATTTTGCAGCAGCAGTAATGCTCACAGACATGTTTCCAGAGATGAAGTATGAGGAGCCAACAAAGGATCAGCTGCAAGAGTTGGTATCGTGATCTCATCCACTGCTTTTTAGGATGTAGAGAAGAAGCAGGAACTCCACACATTCCTCCTTCTCTAGCATTCATCTAAACCCACCTGCCACCCTTTCCTGGGGTCACCCCAATGGCTCTGGGTGGGAGCATGGCAAGAGATTTTCTTCTTTTCCTGCTGTATTTGCATTAGCAGATGTGATGTGACTTCTCATATATTTGAAATGCCAATGGAACCGGTCCAGTTTACATCTCCCTAATGTAGGCTGATGAGCTTGAAATGTACTGTGGATCATTTGTATTAAGTACAACAGGGGCTGTGGAGAGAATACATTACTCTTGATGTGCTGAGGTCCCTTCCCACAGAGAGGGGCCTCCCTCCTGGGGAAACTTGCCTTTGTTTTTTGAGACAGCCACCATAGTGGTGTCAGCTGTGCAGAACATTTTGCCTCTCGCTGTTCATTCCTTTCCCAGCCACGGACTATGGCATGCCCTCACCTCCATTGCAAATGACACCCCACTCCTTTTCCTGCTCTCTCCGTGGGCACCAAAGAAATTGCTTTTGATAGAGAGGTGGGCAGAGATGGTCACAATGGATGGGCTCTGAGTAGCCTTGCCTCTCCTCTCCCTCCCCGCAGAGGCCTGCAGGCAGGGCTGGGAACGTTACCGCCAATTAAAGGGAAGGTCCTGGACTCCAACTGTGGTGTGACTGACAGAGAAAGGCTGTACCTACAGGGCTTCCACATCCTGCCAGAGCTTGGGACTCTATGAATGTAGCCAAGCAACTTTGCTCATTACCCTACAACCTTCATATCACTGGTCCTACACTGAGCCCTTGAAAAGCCATGAGGAAATGCAAAATACATGTGTGTGACAGGAGCCCTTTGGCAGTATTGCAATGCCACAGCTCACCCTTTCCCTCTCCCTTTTGGCACATGAGAATACCACATTGTCAACTTGGAAAAGACTGTTTTCAGGTCTCAGATCAAGATATGAGAGTGTTGTGCTATCCTGAAATAATCCAGTAGTCCAAGCCAACACAGCTGGAGATTCAGTTTAGCCTGAGGATAGTGTTACAAATGGAAAGATGGAGGAGTGGACTATCATCCAGTAAGCTGAATAATGCCAGAAGATGGCAAAGCGCTTAGGAGATTTTGTAGTCCAACACTGCCAGTCTGCTAGCCTTGCAGAGCTCAACAAGCATCACACATGCCATAACTTGTATCTTACCCAGAGATGTTCTGGCTGGCGTAGAGTCTCTCTTGATCCAGAAGGAAACCCAGGAAAGAACAACAGTCAGGATGCAGGGAATGTAGGTCTGAATGGCAAAATAACCCATACGTCTACTGAGGTCAAAAGAAACTGTCATCACCATGTACTCCCCTAGGAAAAAAGCAACAGAGACATTGGAAACACAACATGGCTGCTTAAAACAAAAAAATCAGCAAAGTTTCAGAATTTGGAGTGTTTCTGATGAGGTTTTTCTTCTTAAGTCCCTGGCCAGCTGGTTTTGTGGCTGCCCAGATTGTTAGCTTCATGGACAGCTGTGTGGCTGGCTGTGTGGGTCTGGTGACTCGCTGGCATTGTGGCTGGCTTGCTGGTTTTGTGGCTAGTGAACTCTGTGGCTATCTGGCTGGCTCTGTAGCTGTCTGGCTTAATGTCTTTGTGACTAATTTAAGAGCTGACTTTGTGGTTGCCCAACTGGCTATCTGCCTGGCTGGCTATGTGGCCACCAGGCGGCGTTTGTTCTGGCCTGGCTATGTATCCAAGCTCACTGAAAAGCCCACTGCCTGGAAAGGTTTCAGGGCAGAAACTAGAGAGTATTAATCTTCAGCTGATTGCTGCAATGGTTTCTTTTCTGTGGAAGCTATTTAGCTGTAACAGGCTACATGGCCTGTCTTGCCAACTAACTATCATCTGAGCTGTGACAAAGGAGGTGTCCTTCAATCACTTTCATTGAGACTCTGGTTCTGGTCCTGGAAAAGGCATGTGGTGCTGTACATCCTAATTGCTCATTTAGCAACTTACAGCTGACGTTCTTCCTCTTTTTCAGAGGCTCCTCGTGAATATTGGAAGAAAGCTACCTGACAGCTCTAGGGTTAAGATGGAACTTGCAAGCAATTACCAAAAAAGAGAATTACAAATGTCAGACAGCCACTGGTGCATTCAACACACTTTCACTGCACCACTTCTTGTCCCCGTTTGTGCTGCCTTTCTACCCTGGTTAGAGGCTGGCTGCTGGTGTTGGCAACAGCAGAGTGGGAGAAGCATTAACTGAACATGTTGCTTCAGAGGGCTTAAAAATATGAGCTCACCCCACCTGCAGGAAGCCAAAGAGGCTTTCCTCAGTTGTCTGTGGGAAGGAAAGGGATTGTGAGCTATTATAAGGAGGAGCAGCTGAAGAACCTCCATTCCCTGATTTCCTCACATATGCGGCCTTGTTCCTGTCTCTTACAGTGTAATTCAAGTGTTCATCAGCCCCACAGAACTTTACAGAAGGAAAGACTGAGACCTGCAGGTTCTGATTTCCCCACCTCTGTTCCAATTACAATCATCACTCAGGGATCACAGAGTATGCACATACTGCAGCAAGAGGGGATCTGAACTCCATCTCCTCTCCCTCCTGACCCTTCAATTAGGGATAGCTTCATTCACATTGTAACCCCACAGTTCACAGATATCAGTGGTTCTGGCCTATGCCTGCTTCATCTTCCCCTCACCCTTCATCTCCATCACTTCTGCTCCCCCTAGCAAAGGTCCATCCCTTCATTCTTATATTTCTCTAACTGTGCTGTTGTGGAGCTGTCTGATGACTCCTTTGCCTCCTATGAGGTCTCCAACAGACTGGTGTTTCTGTGGGCTGTCTCCCTTTGCCTCACCTGCCCCAGTCCTGAGAACTTCTGAGGTGTTCCTCAGCCCCGTGAAGTCAAACTGATAGAGTCTCCAAGTGCGCTGGTCAGAGACCTCAATGGAGTAGCGCCTCCAGCGATAGACAATCTCCTCGCGCGGGTAGCCATCTGGGAAAAGGGGCAAGGACATCAATGAAAGAGAGTATCATGTACCTCCAACCTCATTCACCACCCTGACTGCAAAAGTACTGGCATTTCACTCTAGCTGTTTTGTTAACATGAAGCTTTCCAGCAGGTATTTCTGATGCATTTTGTTTAGATTCCCTTAGGCATCCCCACATGCAATGGGAGTAGGGACAGCATCTCTCTTTGTGGGCCACTTCAAATCTTAGGGATAGGAAAAGCAATGCTGGAAACTGAGCTTTTCTAAGGACTGCACTGGTGGGAATGAGACTCAGATTGGTATAAGAGGACTCCCCCAGCCTGAAATCTTTAAGGGTTTTAGCTCCCTGAGGCAGCATGGGACCTTCACCACTCCTCATGACTACCTTCCCTTTCCAGGCATGAGTACACCAGGAATACAAAGCTGCCAATATGGGAAGTAGCATGGCTGTGGCTGCTCTGACTATCTGTGTGCCTCTCACCCTAGGAGCTGATCTATGTATGGAAAAGAAGGGCTGCATTCTCCATGGAGAAGCAGACCTGGCTCCTGCAGGCTGGAGCATGGCTTCTTCTGGCTCTGGTTTTCTTGACAAATAAAAAAGCCTACTGTGAAGCAGGGACCTTGACACCTACAAGAGAGTTCCTCGGAGGGAAGGAGCAAAAGCTTGGCAGCTAACTTGGAGTGTTTCTAATTATCAAGCATGTATGTATGTCATGTACTGTTAATTAGCAAAGAATGAGGAATGGTGGGAGATGAGGAGATGGTATCTCCTCAGCATGCTGCCTCCCTCTGAAGCATCTCAGAGCCACGTGAGCTGCATCTCTTCAGTGGCAGGGGAAGTGGGAGAGGCAAACCCAAGCTAAGATGACTAAATCAGATTTCCATACAACACATGAGGACAGGAATCTCTCGGTGCAGAAAGGCTCCCTGCAAAATTACCAGTGGAGATGTGCCAATATCAGCAGCCCTGTCTGCTGATGAGAATGGACAAGTGGGGACTGAGAGGGGAGGCCTGAGTACCCCTCCCTTGCAATGGCCTTGGGTACAGAAAGCAGGCCTGTCTCTGGGCCAAGGTCTGGATAGCCAAGCTGTCCCCTCAGAGAGTGGGAGAAGGGGAAAGATGCAAGGCAGACAGGTGCCATTTGTCTGCCAGCCGAAGGGATATATTCTGTCTAGTAGGTCAGAGAGACCAGAAGGTCAGTGAAATAATCACCTCCAACCATCCACCCAAATTAAGGAGAAACTCAGAGGTGCTGTGAATCTGTCCCTGAAGACCTCTGCTACACCAAGAGTGGAAGGATGCTTCAGGGCATGACGGGTAATGGCCCAGGAAAAGAGACATAGAGATTAGGTGAAAAATGTAGCTAAGAGGGAGGATGGTCCCTCCCAGAAGAGTTTTACTGTACTGAGGTTTCTCTACTTGCCTTCTAAAACTATTTTAAAAATATGTATACTCACAACTGGAAAAAACCAAAGGGCAGGAGTGAGTGTCCATTGGGAAATTCTGCAGCTGGAGTAGACATTCAGCCTCGATCGTCAGCCTAAGAGAGGAAGAGAGAGAGAGACAGATTTTGTGTTGGTGAAGGTGGTTTGATTCCAACACCACAACGTGACAGAGGGATTCTCGTTTCCTTGAGAGAGAAACACAAATTTGTTGAAGATCAGTCTGTTTGCAGGAACATTTCAAAACATTTCAAAACATATGTTTGGATATTTTCAAAGTGAGAAAAACCATCTAATTTTCACATTCAAAAAAGCCTTTTTCTTTAGTGAGCTTTTAAGGTTCATTTATGGGAATGAGAATTTATGGGAACAAAAGCCAAATGTTTATTATCAGAGTGAAATAGCTGGACTGACCAATATAAACTTTTAAAGGATTTGGTTTAGGAAGCCATTTGTAGTTTTGACTTTTTTCTAGGTATGATATGGAAAAGCAATTTTTTGGAAGCCTTCATCCTGGGAAGAGGAAGCCCATTCTCCAACCAGTATTGCATGCATCTGTCATCAGCACTGGGAGACATCTCCACTACTCTGTCCCAGGGCACCTGAAAACTTCCTCTACCTTGACCAGCTCCTTGTTCCCTCACCTCAGCAGCCAGCCACAGCGCCTGCTGAACGTACCTGAGCGTGTAGAGCACTTTTCCGTCATTCCAGATGCGGAGGAGCTGATTAGGAGTGGTTATCCAGTGGGAATCAGCCCGCTTGGAGTTCCTAAAAAAGGTATCTGGGATCCAGATGCGGCTCACCATGTTGGTGTTCAGTGTGAGGGCCTTCAAGGTGCTGTTGAAACGAAGACGGCGATCATACCACGTCTGAGCAAAGAAGATATCAATGGTGTATTCCTGTGAAAGAGAAGGAAGAACATGTCTTTCTGAGAGCAATTCAGGCAAAGCAGACCCCTGTCCTCTCATCTGTAGGCCACTGTTCTGGAGTCAGAGCCAGAACATTTGCTTTTTAAGTCTGGGAGCAGCTGTTGGTGAGCACTGATACCTTTCCAGGCTCATCTTTAGCTCAGGATGAGGACATTCATGACACACTTAGGAAGACTGTATGTTGACTGGTGGGCTGAGCCGTAGCATATTTGGCCTCACCCATGCTGGAAAGCTGAGACCATATGAACAAGGGCTTGGGCTTCCTCTTGATGGACAGCTCAAGCCAAACACTCCTTTTAAGTACAGGCGTGAAGGGGGAGTGTGGACATTGGCTGAATCCAGTCCAAAGTTCAGATACACCTTTCAAACACAGGTAAGGAAAGCTGCTCACCAGCTTACCAGGGAAGGCAAGCAGACAGGTCTTTCTGTTATTTATTAGGATACAGCCCAGCAGTGCTCCATACACCTTATTTGTACATATAGCAATAGTAGTGCTGTGCATAAACCTAGTGAGAATCCATCCCTTGCTGCAGGACTTATACTGTAAATGGTTTATATGAAAAACCGAGGCACTAGGGTTCCTGGGCAGATACCCCTTGCTGAAGATTAGAAAAGGAAGCTGGGGCAGGAGCTGCTATGGACTCAGCTCTTGGTGCAACCAGTTCAAAATCCTGAGTCTTTTGCAGCCAGAAAACAGAGTTTCCACCATAATGAGGACCTTTGGTTTTGGTGAGAGACAGGGTGTCGTAGCTCACCCATAACTAGCATTTCTGAGAGGCAGGACCTGAACAATGTCTGACTTTTTGCCATCTCTCCCTCCCATTCTCCTCCTCCCTCTATTGATTTATCTTGGTGGAATTGCTATGACTGCAATTTCTCCCTCTGCTGCCATTGCTGCTGGTTCAGAGCTGACTTCCTCAAACCATGGTGTTAAAAAAGATGTGGCACTCTTAGCACACTTGGATAGCATGTCCTGCCTGGGGAGGCAGAGCAAGGCAGCACATGACTCCCCACTTCGTTTTCCTCACCCTCGCTCCACTGTCAGCCAACCAGTGAAGAGTGATTGGTACCAAAAACATCCCTTGCATAGGAACGAGATAATGAGAAAAGAGCATTTGCTCAGGCGGTCGAGTCACTCTCTGGTCTGATCCTTCACCCTGGGTAGACACAGGGATGAGCAAAGGTGACGGAGATGAGGTCCTAACATATCTCTAAATGGGGATAGATGCAGCATGTTCAAAGTGATGGTGTTGCCTCTACAGTTCATTCAAAACAGACATAAGGAGACACAGAGCTAGGATAGCAGCAGCCCTCAAAGCCAAGCACACAAGCATGGCCACTGCCCAAAAACAAGAGGTGAGGAGAGCCCATTCCAGCGTCTCAGTGCTCTGAATCACAGTGAGTACTGCTTGGACATAGGGTTTGCGGTGATGAAGGCATGGATTGGGTTGTGAAACAGCGAAATAGAGCCCACAGGTGGACGAAGAAGCATTGGCACAGCAGGGACAAGATGGGGTAATGGCAGCCCAAGAAAATGACATATATGAGATGGGATGACTTTATTCTGCTTGGGGCCATTTTGTTTTTCTTGCCAGCTGTTGAGGCCAAAATAACACAACATTTGACATATTCTCCCCCACCTCTGCAAACCCTTTCTGAGCTAGTTTGAGCTTACATTGCTCCTCCTCAGCAATATCTCTGGTTTAGGAGAAAGCAACCAAAAATACAATGATAAATCCATGTTAGATGCCACTATCAGTTTCTAACTCCTAACTGGAGTCACTTGTGAGATCTCACTTCTGGGCTGGCTGCTCAGGTCAGATGTCCTGCTGTAAAGTTCAGCATTCAGGTCTGGGATAACTAATGCTAACGTTTTGGGAGAGTGGAGGGTCAGCTATCCCAGGGGTTTAGTATTTGTTGTCAAGCCCAGATTTTCAGAAGTGATCAGCATTAAAGAGCTCCTCTTGTGCCATTCATAGCCAGCCTTTGCAAAAGGTGTAGTGCACAAGTCATTCAGCTCTTTGAAAAATCTGAGCTGTTATTGTCACTGTCCTGTGGTTTGATCTAATTTCAGTGGCTATTATAAGCACAGCTATTCACAAGGAAGATCTTACTAGCTGAGATGGCTCCCTGGCCTCTAGGTGGGGAACCCATTGGGAAATGTTGGCATTTACAAAAGTATTTTCATTCAGAATTATCTGAGGCAAGATTTATACAAAAATGCTCTGGCCTTTGGGAGCACTTTTACCCTTCAGATTCTCTCCCCCATCCGCTGGGGTGAGTGAGCAAGCAGTTGTGTGGTGCTTAGTTGCTGGCTGGGGTGAAACCATGACAGTTCCTGAAGACTTTAGCACCTGTTCCCATCAGGAGCAGTTTGCATTGATGCTGAGGAACCTTACACAACTGCGGCTCTGTACTGATTGGCTGTGGGACAGTGCTCAAACCTTTCTCTGGGCATTAATCAGATCCCACTTAGTTGTAGGCATCTGGCCAAGGTGATTAAAACAGGAGGTGTTTGACCATGGATTCCCTACAGTCATTGGAGAGGGCTACGCACTTCTGGAGGGAGATCCCAATATGAAGCAGGCCAAGTTGTCTTCTGGAAATGCCTCACACTCTTATTGACCTTAGAAGAGTCCAGGCTGATCAAGGCTGAATAGCTGAAGTTTGGTAGGATGAGTTCAGCCCCTGAAACTTACAGCAGTGCTGTTTCTTGAACTCCTGCACCACTGTAGTTTCTCTCTGCCCCTGACTCATTCTCAAGCATCAGAAAGAGACTTCTCAATGCCTCAATTTCCCAATGTGGAAAAAGGTTATTGTAAAATACGCCTCCAACACTACTGTACCATCTGCTATGCAGCACATGGAGGTTGTTAACTTCTCTGTAAAAGCACGGGCTTTTTTAGTGTTTTCAACAGAAGGAGCTAGCAAAATAAGAGGAATCGCTCTAAGAGTTAAGTCGCACCATTTTGATCACACGTGGGACAGCACACACATGTTGGCATGCATACAATATTACATCAAACTTCAGTCATAAAATAATAAATCAAACTACCCATAAGAGTACACCGAAGACTACCTACCCTAAATACTATCATGTGAGTTTAGGTAATGCCGAGAACGCCCTGCAGCGTTGCCGCTGCTAGTTGTGTGGGCTCGTGTCCAACTCAGCCTTTCAGCATATCCCTGCTGACCCTTGGTCACCGCCATCACCTGGCACTGTTGCACATCACTGATCAGTCCTCGTTTTCCTAATGTGGGCAGCGCGGATGCTGGTGGAAAACCAATTTCAGAAAATGGTAAATCTGAAAACAGTTAATGGAAAAAAACCTGTCCTGTAAAAGAGCATTTGTGAGAAATAAGGGGATGTGGAGTTGACAAGAATATTTCATCTTGGAAGAAAAAATAAAACAACAACAAAAAGATTTTACTGCACTCTCAAACCCTTTCATTTTTTAAAAAATAGTTTCTATGATTCTATGATAAGTCAAAAGTTATGGAATTTCTGTGTAAAAAGTAATTTCAAAGAAAATCCCAAATTTTTCAATCCAAAAGAAAATAAACAGGTTCAGAAATCAGCCTGTCCCCAGCACAAGGGAGTTGGGAGCTGGCCACTGTTCTCCTTGTGTGCTACCCTAAGCCTTGTTCCTGGGGTCATCCCAGCTGCAGTCACTCTGCCCTAACCTTCATGGCCCTGGAGCACCTCCCTGCTCCCCATCCTGATCTCCTGATACAGCAAGGACATCCAGCCTGGCCCCAGTTAGCTCCACCCTGCACCTCCTCTCTCACTTCTGTGTTTATGTGCACACACATGGGGAACCAGCCCGTATTTCCAGTTGGATTTGGCCCCGGGAACTCTACTCTGGACTAAGTTCCACCTTGGGCTCAGAGCAGATATGAGTTAGGGCCACACAATTTCAGACTAACAGCTTAAACTCACAGGGTTAGCATGACACAACTTGAAATTAGCAGTTTGTATTTTCAGGTTACCTTATATACCAAATAAACACACCTGCACATTGCCAGAAGATCATTTTCAAATGGCTCAAAGTGAGTTTGTGTGTGCAGTTCAGCTGGCCCCTCCCACGGGTGCAATGAGAGGGATACAGAGGAGTTGGTACTCCATGGTTCCTCTGTATCTGTCTATGAGCTTCTTTCTCTATGTTAAGAGCTCAGCTTTCTGACAAATGCCAAAGTGAGGAAAACCATGAGATAAAGATATCTTAGATGTCTTCCTAAATTAGGATAAAATTAAGGATTTAAAGGTGCTTTTTGCAACTTCACTTGTATTCAACAGCAACAAGAAAACCTCCAAATAGAGGTGGCAGAGACTTGGAAACAGGTTTCTCCATTTTCCTCTGCTGGAGACATAGCTTGGAAAAATCCTAAATAACACTGGGGCTGAGAGATTAATATCCTAGCCAGTCTCATTCTAGCTTTTATTGTTCTGATGTTTGTCTTCATTCATAGAGCCACCTTCCTTCTGCACCTCCAAGCAAATCCCTTGCTGCAGTACAATAAAGCAGGCTGTTTTCCTGGGAAGCATAGCCAGCATTTCAGGTGGGCTGATGTGAATCTGATGGGCCCATGCTGTCAATCACAGAGCTAAGCAAAGCAAGTATTACAAATTCTTTGGGGTGCTGCAATTCAGGAAAATCTCAGGAGTTATTGGAGGAGACCCAGGAATGGGGTGTATTTCTTTCAAGGGCTGGTAGGTTGCTCTGTGCAGCTTGAGCAGGAAGCCTCTCCTCCAGTCTCCCTCTTCTGCAGAACAAGGGTCTGCCCAAGCATCCCCCACTTCAGACAGAACTGCATTCAGCAACTCCACACCCCCACAGCCCTGCACAGACGAACATTTTCCTCTCCATGACATCCCACGCATCCCTTCCGGCCTGCAGACATCTCTGAGAAACCCTGGGTTGCTCTCAGCAGCCAGCTCCATGTCCCAGGGAACACAGTAATAGCAAAAAATCTGGAGATACTCTCCACACTCAGATAA